TTCTGAAACCAAGCCCTTACGTCCCCCATTTTCTTCATATGACAAGGACTCCTCCACTCCATCTGTTCCATTAATTTGGCAACGGAAAAGAAGATCGCACAATCAAATACGCCACCCTCTAAATGAGACGTGGAATAAATATCTAAAGAGAAGGGTCGGCCGGAAGAAGAGGCCGGATTATATAAGAACTAATAATAGACTACAACCGACATAGGAGAAGGTTACATAAACTGAACATTTCTAAGCGATTAAGAAAATGAAAGGAAAATTAGATATGAGCCGAATTTAATAGATCACCACCGCAGCTACTCTCTCAAAAACCAACCAGATTTTCTTTTTATGAACATTTTGTAAGTTTTGAAAAAGAGCCGTTTGTCAAAAACAAATGCTTGACACTTTATCAATTACTGTTGCGGAGGCTATGGATTTCACAATTATATTATGTCAGAAGGGGATGAAGCTGATGTTCCCAAAGCTGAGCTTGATTGCCCGAGAATTAATCCTCTAGATGAAGTGGGACCACGCCAGCAGCAGAAGAACGGGCGCGATATTAGATGAATTGAGGAAAGCCATTTTTGTAAGAGCAGTGGCCCAATATATGATTTTATCTGTTTTCACAAATAAGTCTCAAGAATTACAGGTTTTCTCTTAGCGAGAAGGAACAAATACCAGCTGCACTACTTAAGAGCACCATTTTCGGATTTCCACGGTAAAACACAACAGAAAATAATAGTAAGATTAATGATAACATTTTGCAAATAAATAGCCTTATCACAGGGAATATATTATTAAAAATAATAACCAAGTAATCACCTTGAAAACTTGCATTTGCAAGCTGGTTTAATCTTTATTTAACATAGTAAATCCAAAATTAACAACAACAAAATGTTTGGCTTCCGTGCCGGTACGCGCGGTGATGAGAAGCGATATGGTCGTGTAATAATCATTAATGCAAAAATCGTCAAAAGAGGGTGCCATTGATAAATAGCGCCCTCTTTTGAAATTTAGCTCCAATTTTTGACAATTTCGGTGAGTTACGTTTTTAGATAATAGCCAACCTAGTTTTCTGGACCCAGAGATGGTATTTAAACATGCTTGATGTATTTTATAGGACATTTGACTGTTTAAAGTCCTGGAATATACTGATGTCTGGGTCACATATGGTTTTAAACCACTGTGCCCTGGCAATGTGAATGACCTATATCTTGTGCATGTACAGGCATGCCAGGGTTATTTACCTATAAACACATGTGGTGATCAAATTCTCCATGTGGTTCCACGGTGTGATTTTTTTTGGTAAGCTGCTCGGAGGGTTAAAGGGGCACTAGAGGTCATTTAATGAATATTTACAAAATGCTTCTTCTCCCCCAGTCTTGACCCAATTGATGTAAAACTTGGTCAGTTGTATCTTTGGACCAAGCCTCACAAAAGTTGTTCACAGAATTTGGCCAGTGGTCACCTATTGGTCAGTAGGGGTCATTTTATGAAACAAAATTCAAAAACTAATAATAATAATAATAATAACAAAGCATTTGTAAGGCGCACAGTATCTGACAAAAATAGTCATTCAAAGGCGCCGGTCAGTGAAAAGTCAGTGTTTTACATTTTAAATCTTTGCAGCCATGTTCAGTGTATTTTTATGCCCCGCGGCGAAGCCGAAGGGGCATACTGTTTCCGCCTTGTCCTTCCGTGGGTGTGTGGGTGGTGTTAGAGTGGTGTTATGTCATGGAAACAGTCATGGTTGCGGGGCATTTGTGTTTGTAAACACACCTGACTTGTTTTATCTCTAATTCTCAAATTTCATATTCCTGACTTATTTGGTTGTCGAGTTATTTCAAGTTTTTCATTTTTCAAACGCATGTATAAAGCAATATAAAAACATAGGAATTCTGGGAAGGTTTCAAACCACCACGATACTGTGGATGTTGTGTGACATACAGTGCCACACTCTCCACAGACTTTGCCTACAACCGCAGAAGTGGTGTCTGAATACTGCATTCCTTCGGTCTGTCATAGCATGAAGCTGTGCCACCTTAAAGACATGTGTTCAGCCATATTCTCATGCCGTAGATTAAAAAGTACGGAGGCCAATAAGTAACACTACTGCTGTGATTAATTTTTGAGTGTTTTTAAGGATTAATATACTGGCATTAACTACTGTTTCATGTATTGTCTTGACGGCTATTTTATGTAATGTTTCGGCAGTCTTAATGTCAAATGTTCATAGTTGTTCCTGTTACATTCTTTTGCCGATCTCGGCCACATTTAGCGATGATCACCTTGTGTTCAGTGCGAGTTAGTATTCAGACAAACCGATAAAACGGCAATTTAGGCTGATATCTGTGCTTCGGGAAGCACATTAGCTCTAGTTCCTTTTCTGCCTTTGCTTACAGATTTATTCTGTCAACCACCCGTCTCCCTTACGGGTGTAACAATATGTAACAATTCATGAAGACAAAAGTATTTCGTTTATGAATATATATGCCCCCAACACTTGTAAAGAAAGGGTACAATTCTTTAAAAAGGTAGAAAAATTGATATCTCATTATATTCCTAACAATAATGAACTTATTCTAGGTGGTGACTTCAACTGTGTTTTAAACCACAAATGTGATAAAGAGGGAGGAATTAAATATGTAAGCGAGATACAACATTCATTAACGTCCTTTGCAAAAAGAAACTAAGTAACAGACATATGGAGAGACCAAAATCCAAACACGTATCAGTATACCTTCAGAAGGAAGAATCCACTAATAAAAACTAGAATTGACTACTTTCTTATTTCCACTTCACTGGTAGATACGGTCATATTAAGTGATATTATACGACCAGGCATTAAAACCGATCATCAAGCGATCTCAGTGACATTTGTAAACAATATTCAACGAGGACAAGGATACTGGAAATTTAATAGGTCATTTCTCAGTGATAAAACTTTTCAAAATAGAATGCAAATGTACTTAGATACGTTGTCAGAAGAGTTGATAACGGAATTTGAAGATGAAAAATGTCGATGGGAAATTTGCAAAATAAAGATCAGTGACTTTACGATCTGGTATTAAAAAAGGAAAAAGAATGTAGGAAAATTAGTCAAAGAATCGATAAAAGCCAGAATAACAAACTTGAATAGCGATTTTGAAGACAATTCTTTTGAGATAAACAAACTTCAAAGCACATTAGAAAACATGTATGATAAAGAGATTGAAGGACATAAGGTTCGATCCAGAGAAAGATGGTCTGAGGAAGTTGAAACGAATAGTAGATACTTTTGAGGTCTTGAAAAACGCAATGCCTTGAGAAAACACATTATACAGCTGAAAAGTGAAAACGGCAGCATAATAAAAGATCAAATTGAAATACTCCTTGAACAGAAAACCTTATACCAAAAACTTTACTCTTCAAATAGTGTTGATGCTGATCAAATGAACGGATACCTAAATGACACAGAATTTGATTTTGTGCTAGATGAAAAACAAAAAGAAAAATGTGAAGGAATTCTCACTGAAGCAGAATATGCCAAAGCATTAAAAACTCTGAAAAATAATAAAAGCCTAGGTATAGATGGTCTAAGGCCCAAAAAAAATAAATATTCGGTCTCTGGTCAGAACAAAGTTCCGGAATTGACGCGGGGACGCAGCTTCTTCTTTTTTTCTTCAAGCTTCGATTGTACAGACAAGGTGGGGTACTACATGCATTTGCTTTTTTGGTTTCCTCATGTACATTGGTGTCCTCAATAATTTGCCTTGCTGCTCTCGATAAATTGCCTTGGTGCAATTTCCCATTCCTTGGTGCTCTTTGGTAACAAAAACTGAGGAGGTGCGGCAAAAGAGGGCGCTGTTGGAGCTACCGCGGAACATTTTGGGGAAAAAAAAATTGACGCGCATGATTAAAATCGACGCGCGCGCTGACCAGAGACCGACTTATTTTTTTTTTTGGCCTAACCGTAGAAGGTTTTTTGGGAAACATTAAATTGCTCTTCATAGGTTCAATGAACAGAAGTTATAAAGAAGGAGAACTCCCTACGTCACAACGACGTGCTGTAATTTAACTTTTGTATAAGATTTGTATAAGAAAGGTAACCGAACCAATTTAAAAAACTGGTGACCTATTAGTCTTTTAAACATTGATTATAAAGTAGCTGCGAAAGCTTTAGCAAATCGTTTATCAAGTGTTATAGGAAACATTCAAGAAGATCAGTCCGGTTACATCAAAAGAAGATTCATAGGAAACAGTATAAGATTAATTGATGATGTCATTCATTTTAGTAAAATGAAGGACAAAAATACGGCAATTCTCTTCTTAGACTACGAAAAGGCTTTTGACACAGTAGAATGGGACTTTTGATTCAAAACGCTTATAAAATTCAACTTTGGATCCAACAATGTATACAAATATTCAAAGTACAATAATAAACAATGGCCATATGTCTCAATTTTTCACGTTAAAACGAGGCCTCAGGAAACGGTGTGCTCTCTCTACACTGTTATTCCTAATCATTGCAGAAGAATGAATCAAGAAATAAATGGGGTTATTAACAAACAAAACAGATTTACGTGTAACGGAATTTGAAGATGAAAGATGTCGATAGGAAATTTGCAAAATAAAAATCAGTGACTTAACTATCCGCTATTCAAAAAAGAAAAAGAATGTAGAAAAATGAGGCCTATCTTACTAGGCAATAGGCAGATTTACCTAAAACAGATTTACGTATTTCAATGTACGCAGATGATACAACTCTTTTTTTATCTGATTTTGCATCAATTACAAATGCCATCAATATTGTGACAAATTTTGGAAGTATTGCAGAACCAAAATCTAACCTCCAAAAATAAAAGGACTAATTATTGGTAACATTGATCTGGACCAAACCTTTTAGAAATTATAAATTGGCAGCGAGGACCAATTAAAACATTAGGCATTTATTTTGGAAATAATATGAATGAATGTTATGAATTGATGTGGGAAGAAAAGGTGATAAATTGTGTGAATTTAATTAATCAATGGAAAAGAAGACATCTGACATTACCAGGAAGAGTAACGTTTGTAAATAGTCAGGCAATACCAATATTTACTTTTTTAGCATCTGTTATTCCAACCCTACAAAAGTATGTTTTGAAAATAGATAACTTAGTGTTTCCGTTTATCTGGAATGGCAACACAGACAAAATTTCAAGAAAAACAAAGGTTTGCAATTTAAACAAAGGTGGTCTTAACTTGACTTCCAATCTCATAATATAGCACTTAAATGTAACTGGATATTTAAATTGTTAAACAATAAGCTTGGGAAATGGAAAATCATTTGCAATTTATTTTTAAACTCATGTTGCCCAGACCTTTCAGTCCTCAATATGAATTTTAAAAAAGCAAAGTGCTGTTCACATATTACATTAAACCTTCCACAATTTTATAAAGAGTATTCTGTTGGCAGGAACTGAACTCAACAAAGACTGTACAAATCGATTTACAGCCAACTAATATAAAAGCACAAATAATGTCTGTAACTCTTTGTGTTTTTGTTGATTTATTGCAGGAGGAAAGAAGAAACCTTTGAAGCAAGCCAAGAAAGAGCACAAGGAACTTGATGAAGTAAAAAGCTGTTTCCATTTTGTCTTTTTATTCCCCTAGCTGTAAGCCGGAGGGGGACATTGCGATAGCTTTTGTGTGGATGTCTGAGTGTGTAAATACCGGCAATCATGGACCTAGGACAAAAGGGTTATGGCACAAACAATACGTCCACGATTGACCGAACGTCCACGATTGAAATTCGTGTACAAAACCAGTCACAGCTGTTGCTAAAAAGTTAGTAGTACAAAACAAAGGAATGAGGATTACGGACAATGAAGAGTCCACGATTGCCGGTGTTTACAAAGATGGGTGTGTGTGAGTTTGTTTCTGCATTCAGTAGGGGACGTTGAACAAAAGAGGACAATAGGGTCCCCAATTCCCATGTGTACAAACATATGGGATGTCTTCCTAAAAAGTTAGAGTACAAACAGAAGAGGGACAATAGGGGGTCCCCTATTGTAGGCAAATAAACACTTGTATGTGTGTGGGTGTTTTAGTTAGGTTAACTCTTGTCAGAACAATAACTTGAGAAATACTTTTCTTAGGAACTTCAAATTTGGTTTGTGGGTTGTCCTTGGTAGTCTTAAGAAGCCTCTTGCTTTTTGGGCCGACTGGTCAAAGGCCAAGGTCACTATTGTTAAAACAATAGAAACATTGTCAGCACTGAAGCTTGAGAAATACTTTACTTAGAAACAACTCTAAATATGGTTTGTGGGTTGCTCTTGGTAGTCTTATCAAGCCTATTGCCTTTGGGGCCGACAAGTCAAAGGTCGAGGTCACTATTGCTAAAACAATAGAAATCTTCCATTTTGGTTAGGGACACTGACAAGTGTCCGTACTAACTGACATAAAAACTGCCAGCATGCCAGGGGGATTGCGCAAGTCTCACTTGCAGTATTTTTATCCCTCTGGCTTTCAAGCCAGACAGGGGATATTGCGTATTCCTTCTGTGTATCGGTGTGGACAAGCACTACATTCACTATGTGGACTTCGGAACAAAAGATGTCCACATAACCAGTTTCAAGATACATTGTGTGGACTTGCCCACGTCCACACAAGGTTTCCCCCTCTCTGGAAAACAGGTTTAGAGGCAATTTGGGGTTAGGTTTATCCGTCACAAAATGAAGAGAAACACACAAGGAATTATAGAAACAAATATGGGTCGAAAAGGGTTTTCACAGTTTGAGTAAAAGAGTTTTTTTCACAGGTTTTTCTTAATTACATGAAAAGAAAAAAAAGTCAACACTAGGTATGCAGACCTGCCAACTAGTACGACTCTGCCATATTTCATACGGGAATTTGTTGAAAATACGACCGTACATTTTGCCCCCATAAAATACGGGTTTCGACCATTTTGGCATGGCTGGAAAAAAATCCTAGTTCAAAGCGGCTGTGAGTGTAGATTATGCTAGATAAAATCGGCTGAATCAACGTACACATGCACGAAGCCAAGTAAACGATGTACTGCACGAACTGAATCTGGTTTTGCGATTCTCACTGAAGGTATGATGTAAATGATGTACACAGTATCACAAACTAGAACCAGTCCAGTTCTGGAGTGGTCCGATACTTCAAGCAGTGGCACCCCCGCCGCAAAATTTAATGTCTGCATTCATAAACAACTTACCAGCAGGAGTACGTACATCAGATCGTACATGCAGTCGCGATCAACCGACTTTCTTTTTCTAAGTGAACGCGATACAGAATACGCTTCGATGTTAATGTTCGTTAGTCACAACACACGTGCACGCGTTGTTTCGTTGAGCATGTTGAGCATGTTTTAGTAACTTTATAAAGCGTTCTGAAATGATAATAAAAATTGGAATAAAAACAATGCTGCGCATAGAGCGATTTAATCAGCCAGCACATGCAAGAAATCGTTTTCTTTTTAAGGTAGGCCAAGTTCTTTTTGATGTGTTTTTGTAAAATAAAAATTGGTCACTGTGTATTTTTTTTTACATTCAGTACGGCCATGCATGTGATTATGATTGAAACTGGCACTTGTCTTGGCAGCGACATGCGATAAAACATGAATAAGTTTAGATTATCACCTGCATAATAATTTTATTTATTTCAAATATTAGGGTTTACTCTAGTCTTTAGTTTAAGAAGACCTGCTATTAATAGTTTTTAAAGCAGTTTGTTTATGAATAAGGTATATGATCAATATCCTTATTCATGCAAACTGTTTGATTGGGTTTAACACCTGCAGGGAGACTTCTGGTCATGTTTTTGTCTATAACGTAATAAAGATGCATTAAAGTTGCAGCATTGTAGCCACATTTATCTGTTTGCATAGCTTGTACGGTATATGCATATTTTTGAAAAATAATTTTTTTTATGAAAAATACAACCTTTGGAGATTCACAATAAAGTTTTTTGATCCCAAAGGTTGGCAGGTCTGGGTATGTAACGTAAACATGTGAGTGTGTAGACACTGGTAATCGTGGACCAAGGACAAGAGGGTTAGGGCACAAACAATATGTCCACGAATTGACCGATAGTCCACGATCGTGTACAAAAGCAATGAGTAAAAAAGTTAAGTACCAGTACTTGCTAAAAAGTACAAACAAAGGAATGAGGATTACGGACAATGGGAGGGGGGTCCACAATTGCCGGTGTTTGCAAAGATGGATGTGTGCTAAAAAGTACAAACAAAGGAATGAGGATTATGGACAATGGGGGGGGTCCACAATTGCCGGTGTTTACAAAGATGGATGTGTGTGGGTTTGTTTCTGCATTCAGTAGGGGACGTTGAACAATAGACATGATAGAGGACAATGGGGTCCCCAATTCCCAAAGGGTCCCCAATTTGGCAATGTGTACAAAACATATGGGAGGTCTTCCTTAAACGTTAAGAGTACAAACCAAAGAGGGACAATAAGGGTCCCCGATTGCAGGCAAATACACACTTGGGTGTGTGCATTTGTTTATGGTGTAAATCGAGGACACACACGTGCAACATCATCAGTGAATCGAGGACAGGAACGTAATCAAGGACGGTCTCGATTAAAAAACGTGTACAAAACCAATGAGAGCTGTTGCGAAAAAGTTGAGTACAAATATTCTGTGTCAACCAAGAAGTTTTTAATAGACTGGGTGAAAGTCACTTCTGTGTACATGTATCACAACAGATTTTAGCTCCCAAGTCCAATTTGTTTCCAAGTTGTACATTATAACAGGTGTGGAGGCATCATCATAAAAGCCAAGTGCTTGTGGTGAATCTGCCCAATTAAAATAAAATAGGAGTTTAAGAAGGAATCATAATATATGATATCATAGAAATACAGTAAACAACATGGATCACAGACTGCTTAATAGTGACTTAGCATAGCTTAATCAATTAGTAATGATAAAAATAGGTTCAGTGGAAATGTTGTGTAAAGATTAAGGAAGTTGGTTATTTACAAATTTAAACACAAAACACCTTGTTAAAAAAATCATTCTTGCTAATTAGAGAGTCTATTCATTGAAGTGGTTCAATTGGAGGGGGGGGGGTGTCCCCACTGAATTGTGCCACTGATGTTTCCCTCACTAGGCATGTCACATGTAGGCATGTGGCTCTGCTCAGCATAACATAACTGTCTTGTATGTTTACAATGTTACATGTATATGTATAAGTATTATGCTTTCATAGGCTGAACAAACAGCGGCGTGGGGGGGGGGGGGTTGGACACCACATTTACGGGGAGCGCTCTTCAGAATAAACATGTATATCAATATCAAAAAACTCGCTCTTACATTTTTAAAGCTTTTGTACTTTGTTTCTCCACTATTCAGTTGGGGGGGGGGGATATATATATAACCCTCCCCCCCCCCCCCCCCCCGGATTATTACCCCCTTGTGAACAAATGTACATTGGAAATCAGCAAGTGACCTGCAATTTTAGGCTACGTGTCTTGGCTAGGGCTATTGTCTAGGTCTTCACATATTTTTAATTATATGTACATGAGACACCTGTTTCTGGTTACAATAACAGATTGGATGCTACTGGTTACATGTATTTGATTATTCCCTCTCATTAGGATGACTTGGCCCTGAAGCAAAAGCAGAAGGAAGAAAAGAAAAAATTGGAAGAGGCAAAGTCAAAAGCAACTAAGAAAGGGCCCTTGAGTAAGTTATTCATATATATTTTAAATGTTTGTGACCCTTTTACCCTCTAGCTCTAGCTGGCCAAAAGGTTAAAAAAAAATTTACCTGGTCGGTCACATATTACGCTCCTGATCATAGCACATTTGGTGCCAATTTTATTAAGGACAGGATTGGCGTTTTTTAAACCGAACCGAACAAAGGACTTCCAAGGCGAACCAAACCGAACTGAATTGTTCGCAAACACTAATTTAGTACAGCATGTATATTTGCACAATTAAAATAATCAAAACTTCCACCATAAAATTATCATATTTAACTGAGGGAAAGGTCCTATGGCCGATTTTAAACACAATGTTTAAGACCGGTTGGAGTCTGGATGCTGATAATTACCTGAGCCGAATGAACACCTTTTCGGTCAAAAATTTAAAACTTTTCAGTCCAAAAGTCAAAACAAGTCAAAACTTATAAATTCACAACGATTTTGTTCAACAGTTTTACTTCATGTTTTTTTTTAAATGCCCCTCCTTCTATATTATATTATGTCCTCACCAGAAGACGTAAATAACTCCTTATATGTAGATTTGTGTGTGCATCACGCGTACTGGGCAATGTGACACAGAACGCAGCATGCTCAAGTGAGGATTGTGAACGTTCAACCAATGAAACTGTAAAAGGCACAGGATTTTATAGGAGTCAAAATTTCATTTGACACTGGAAAAGTGTTTAAGACCATAAGACCATAAGACAGGGATCAAATGATAGAATTAAATAAAAAATTATCTTTTTTGAAATTCTCCCAACGGTAACTTCTGGTCTGACAACGTCATAATTTTGTAACCTCGCAAAGTTTTATGTAGTTGATATGAAAAAATAACAAATAACAGATTTTTTCAAATCTGGCTCTTAAATTGCTTGTTATTTGATACCTGATGATGTCATAATGATGTCAGGTTTTTTTTTAACATCTTCAGACGGGGTTCAAGTTCATACTAGATTTTATCATAATCCCATAAATCGTTAGGAAGAAATTCGGTTCGTTTTAATTTTGAAGCTTCTGTCTGTATTTAAAATTCTTCTAACTTTGACCTTCCGGTTGACCCAGAGGTAAAGGTCAAGCCAGTCAGGTAGACAACAAAAAGTTTATCAATTAATGGTCTGTATGATTACAACGAATGAACATGATTGATTATTTTGTTTAAAAGTAATAAGTGCAAGACGTTGGTAATTTTTTCAACCAAAATCGCTTGTAATTTGACATCCGATGAAGTCATCATGACGTCAGAGTAACATGCACCACTGGGGATGAGGGTCGATATATGTTGAAAGTTACAAGTTCATACCATATACAGTTTAGGAGAAAACCCGCAGAGAATATTGTCTTGAAAAATAGAAAGAAAGAACTAGAGGTTCGCGTTTGTTGTTACAAACGCAGAGTGGTCGGGTAGGCAATTTGTTCATTAAACACTGCCGAAGTTGAGTTATAAATATATTCATGTTAGAACAAGGATCACAAAATTAAATCCTTTCCAGTACAATCAATTATTTTGATTAAAACAATACATCTTTAACGGTGTGATAAATTTTAGGAAATATTCTATGTACACATACAAGTTATTTCTGGCTTAATGGCGTCATTATTCAAAAACGGGAAGTGAATACTGTTTAGTTCGGAGTGGATAAATGTTCGTTGTGAAGTAAAATAACGTATGAAAATATGGAAAATATAACTGTATGCATTCATAACACCTAACTCCGGTTTGATGACGCACAGTATTTGGAAGCAAAAGGTAAACATTGTAAGGGATATTGTTATTTTGGCTACGAAGATATACGACATGAATCAAATGATATAATTAAATTAAAAATATTATCGTTTTCAAATTCTCATAGAAGTAACTTCCGGTCTCATGACGTCATGAATTTGAAACCTTGCCAAATTATCTGTGGTTAATCAAAGAATATCAAGGGGCGGTTTTGTGAAATTTTAACAGATGGTTTTCAAATTAAAGAAAGCAAACACTATTTAATATGCCGCTAGGGGGCGCCCTTTCGAAAGATGTCGTCATCACACTGTTTTGTGTCTGGCATTCCTCAATAAACACTTTCAAAATATATGTGTGTAGTAAAATGCTTCCCCTTTTGAGTTATACTCGGTTGTTATTGCACTTCCAGTAACACCGGAAGTGAAGGTCAAGCGGTTTTGTGTCCGGGGACAAGAATTGTTTCTCACAGCATAGTCTACTACCTCACGAAAAAACAAACACGATACTATATTTAGTTCAAAAGATATAGCGCAAACTATTTCATCAAAATTTGCCCTTAAATCACTTGTAATTTGATACATGATGACGTCATGTTGACGTAACAAAATATATAGTATCTTCGTAACGTGGTACAATTTCACACTAGGTTTTATGATCATACCATAAACTGTGTGGAAGAAATTTTGCTTTGTTTTGATTTCAGGCTAAAGTCTTCATTTTGAATTCACCTAACTTTAACCTTCCGGTTGACCCGGAAGAAGGCGTCAAGTGAGTTCACGTACACAATGAGAAATGTTCATCAATTACAGAATATAAACATCACTGATTATTTTGTTCAAGAGTTATGGGTGAAAGTAATTTGACCCTTTTTCAGCTAAAATCACTTGTAATTTGACACCCGATGACGTCATCATGACGTCAGAGTAATATGCACCACTTGGGATGAGGGTCGATATATATTGAAAGTTACAAGTTTAATCATGAACCGTTTAGGAGAAAACCCACGGAGAAGTATTGTCCGGAATAAAAAGAGAAAGAAAGAAGATTTATGAGAACAATTCCAGACAGTGGTCGGGTTGTGCCCGACCACTCAAAGAAGATTGATCAACAATCAAAATAAAGAACCAGATAACAAGAACATGTGAGATAGACTAAAAACTGGACAATAGCGAGCAACACTAGAAATAATTAAATGGACCTTAGATTCCTGTTGGCCATTGAATTAAAAGTATGCACACTGCCTGCTGCACATGTATCACCATCTAAGGAATTCCCTAGCTGTACGGCACTGGGCAAAGAAATAATCCTCTAACTGGCTGATACGACATCTCATTGGCTGCAGAGTAAGCGTATGCAGAGAAGATGCAAGCCAAGTATTTCTTGCCGGCACACACAGCTCGGGGACAATCGTATGGTGGATGAAGCCGATTGGATTGTATCTTGTTCAGCATACATACATTACTGACATTGCGTCAATGACCCAGATCACACAGAGCATTGCCGTCACAAAGAAATCGTATGGAGTACCCTGTCAATGAGATGGATAAGAGATGCAGCAGCAGATGACTAAAATAGAGCACAATACTCAAGAAGTGGAAGGACAAAGCAGCGGAAACAGCAAGCACAGATGGAGACATCATTGAATATTTCATAGGCCTTCCTCATTATTCCAAGTTTGCGATCAAATATGACGTCCGAAGGTTAATTTCGGATCAAACTTGAAACTTTCAAATTCATCGCAACAACTGAGAATTGAACCGTCAAGGAGTAGATTGTCATGCGGTGGATGGAGGCTGCGAGATCAGGAGATGCACAAGCTAGGTACTCTACTTTAATGTGTTCAACTTAATGTTCCACTTGTCGCACCATCTACATATGCTACAAAGATCATCATTTAACGATTCGCAGACGGCACGACATCACTGAGGTGAATCAACTATCGCAATCAGAGTTACATTGTCAGCGTAGCGGTACAGTGAATTCATGGTGATCTTAAACAGGTCGATTGTGTAAATGTTGAACAACAAATTTCCAAGAACACTTCCTTGAGGAACGCCTGAATGGACATTGTACCAGTCACTGAAGCTGCCATAGACACATACCCGGTGAGTTAGTCCCCTCAGAAATTGAGTCAAGACTGAGAGCAACGATCCACCTACCCAAACACTCTGTAACTTCCAAAATAAACCGTCATGATTGACTCGATCAAAGGCAGCCGACAGGTCCAGTTGGACAACCCTTGCCTCATGACCATGATCATGAGCTGACAGTAATTTGTGAGAGATTGTGAGGAGAGCATCTATTGTACCAAGATTCTTGCGATAAGCAAACTGGTTGGATGACAACAAACTTGATCATTCCAAAAAGTGGGAGAGACGAGTAGATACCAGGGGCGATATTCATGAAACCTTACTAAGCCTAGTTGGCTACTAAAAAGGCATGTAGTTGTTTACTAAGCCTAGTTTGTATTCATGAAACATTGCCAGTGAAGTTAAATTCTAAGGTCTACATCACTCTACTTACCTGTAGAGCGAATACTACATATGCATTGTTCCCTATGCCGGCAGGCAATTCGCTAAGAGTTTTACATACAATAGCGCCCTCACGTGTCCTACCCACGACGCCCTGTGACATGCGCACTACGTTAGCGTCCTCTTTTTCTCTTAGCCGCAGGCGAGGTATAACGTGGAATTTCAATCGACCTGAATTTCACTATTTTATTGGTACCTCTTTTGCTTGGAGAAAGCTATTTCGAAGAAATAAAGAGAAAGTGTTTATTGTAGAGTTGTTCTAGTGAAGTATTTGAGTGAAAGTGAAGTAAGAAATGAGTAAATCTAGGAAGTTGGGGAGGACTGGGTGTGTCGATAATGGAGGGACGTACATCCCACCAGACAAGCCCGAGTTCTCGGGGGACTGCACCGGTGATGGTACGTCACCGCGGCATCAGTCCCCTAGTCGGCCCCTTCAGCCACTGCCGGCTGTCGGAGCTGACGGACCCGTTGACCAAGCGGGGGGCCGTACAACCCCACCGTCTTCGGTCAATATTCACGGGTCCGCCCAACTGAAGGGGAAACGCACCGGCAAGACAAGGAAATTGTCTGACGCCGGGGCAGTACCCATAAAGGGACGTACGGCAAAAGGTGGCCCCGCTACGGGGCGCACCGTGCCTGTCCCTGGCCCGTCTACGGGGCACACGCAGCCGG